CGTTTTATTGAATAGACAGTATTCTGACGGAAAATCGTGCGATTGCGACCCAATGCGCGCTACTTGACGAGCATTTATTTTTTTAGAATACACTAGATTTCTTCACTGTTTGGCAATTATTCCCTACTTTTCTTGTTATTCGGTCATTCTATGATGTCGCCGCATGAAAACAGAAAGAAAAACGAAAACGAACTGATGGGAATCGAACCCGCGATGCGCGACTGATAACCAAGCGCGCCCCCACTACACCACAAGGCGCTTGTCGTCTGCTGCCGCAAAAACGATTATGAAACGAGGAGTTGGCGCCGCTTCGAAGAACGGCCGCGTTCTTGCTTGTACAGTAACAAGGAGTTATGGTTTGGTGTCCCTTGTTATTTTCTGACTGTAATATGTCATATATCAAAAAACTAGAATTTTGAAAATTTTCATGTCTGGCCTCCTTTAAAATCTTTTTAATTGAAGACGTACCAAAAACTTGTGACATCACGAGAATGATGTTGAAGAGTTTGACACTCTGGTCCTCTCGAAGTATCACAAAACCCGGATCGAAGAGGAGTGACATGGCTCCTGAAAAGTTCGCAGGTTGCTGTTGAGGAAGTGAAAAGATGAACAAAAGCGAGAAAGCGAGAAATTGCGCGAACAGTCTGCGTCTCCTTTTGGGATGTGGATCATATGTTATTGACAGATCGAAACAATTTCGTTAACTTGTTTATGTGGAAGTAGGTCATTTTAACAGTTAGTTATCAAAATAAGTAGATTCAGATTCAAGAAAGGGGGATGTTAACGGCAGATCTGAATTCATGGTTCCGCGTCACTTCGAAATCAAAAAAAGGAGAAAAAATTCATTCTATTTACTGCTGTCATTTCCCGTTTCGCTTTTATTGACGACCACAGAGAGAAGGGCGGTTCGAAGTGAAACGAGGCGACGTGCTCTTTCTTCTTCTCCCAATTCTACCCTCCTTACTTGTACACGTGGCCCATGGATTCTTGGAAGGGAGATGAAAAATTGAAAAAGATTCTCAAACTAAGAAAAAAAGAACTGAAACATTTGAGCGTTGAGAATCTAAGAAGGTGTTGGTGAGCGGCGCGTTTGGAATGCGGTGCTCGTTGAGCATGAGAGTGAGAAGAAGAAGAAGTCAAATGCTTGATAGAAAGGAAGAGAAGCAAAGAAGAGGGTGAGAGCGAGGAAGGAGCCAGAAACGGGATATGGGTCTCTTGTTTATTGAGGAGTAGAAGAGAAGGGCTAAAAGAAGAGACAAATGAAGAGAAAAGAAAAGGATCGATGGGATGAGCAAAATGAATGAATGAGGAAGAGTAATAGGAGGATTTTAGTCCAAAAAAATGTATTGAAATTGAGTATTATTCTGGTACTAAAAAGTGGAGGTGTGGAAGAGAAAATCTGGTGGCCGTGGCCGAAGGTCCAACAACTACCGTAACCTAAAAATATTTGCATTTTCAGGGTTTGTTATCGATTTTTACTGCTTTTCGTCGAGTTTTTTATTATTTTTCTCCAATAATTCGGAAAATAAAACATTTTGATAGTAAAAATTGACTGGAAATGCACGAAAATCGAGAAGAAAAATCCGAAAAATAACAATATTTTTAGGTTACGGTAGTTTTCGTTTTGCTCCGTTTTATCTCTTCCACAGCTCCGATTGTTTGTACCAAAAAATTTTTTAAAAATCACTTCAAGCAGAAAAAATACTGAATTTCATATCTGAATGTGTTGGGAAGAAAATGCCCAAATGGTTTTTTTCGCATAAATATTTGGTTCTTCTCTCTGGCCTCTTTTTTAGTATCTATTCCACCATTTTCGAGCATTTTCCGCTCTTCAAAATGCAATTATAAAAACGGCTCCTCTTGTGTCACTTTCAGTCGATGCAAATAACTGAATTATATGCGAGCAAGCTCTTGACGACATCTAAAGTAAGAATAAGAACGATAACAAGTGGGGGAACAAGAGAAGGCATATATAAGGGTGCTCATTTATTGCAATACACAAATCTTTACTAATGAATTATCACGACGAGTCTAGACGGAAAAGGTGCAAGCAAGGACAAGAAGAATGGTTAGAACTTTGAAGGAATACATATTCACAAGATAAATTTGTTAAAAAGGACGGAAAGTTGAATGGAATGTCTTGTTGAATTGAAGAAGAAAGAGGAAACAAAACGTTAGTGACAATTTAGAGAGAAGCCTTGAATACAAATTGGGGGGGGGGGCGGGGAGGGAAGAGACTAGCATACGGATACTGATTCAGAACCACAAGATGGAATAGATTCTGGTAACATTCGGCAGTAGGCAATCGAAATATGGAATATTTAGTTGAAAAGAACCGGCAAATTATCTTCCTCGACAGCGAGCAAGTTCCGAGGTGGCTGATTCTCTGAATGCGTCCCTCCGGCTTCTTCCTTCGGCGGTCCTTCCAACTGGAATGCGCAAACATTAGTTTTACAATTTTTGAAACTTACAGCTCTCTGTGCGGCCTCCTGCTCCTTCAGTTTCTTCTTATTGGCTTGAATCTTCTTCATACGGAAGAACTCTTCTCTCTCCATTTCGTCTAACTCGGTCACGATGTAGGTGAGAGTGTTCTCGATACGTGGAATGATGACGTGCTCGATGGCGTTCACACGTCTGTTGGTAACCTTGATAGCTTCATCCAAAGTGATGAAGCAGGTTTGAAGGGTGGCAAGCTCGACGAGCAATTCGATAGCCTTGTTGTAGTTCTTCTTCAGACGAGCAATGTTGGCTCCTCCCTTTCCCAGACCAGTCAAATCGTAGGCGTCTGGTCCATCCTGGTAAGCGTCGAAGACTGGCAGAAGGACTCCTGGAAATTAGTAAGCCTTGTTATGTGATCCACTAATTCTTTAAAACTTACCGACAACGTTTTCCTTCTTCATGCGCACACGATATTGAGCCTGGGAGACGTTCTGAATGACGGTATGAGAGAAGTCTCCGGCGGTGAACTTGGCTTCGGCCAAGGAGAAGGCGGCCTCCTTCATAACCTCACCCATGAGAACTTTGTTCTGGAAAAAATAATTTTTGTTTGACCCACTTATGGAATATATCCGCCTACCTCCACAATCTTCTTGAGGATGTCACGGAAACGGAGATTCAAAGCATCGGCCTTCTTCTTCAAAAGCGAGTGACCCTTTTGAGCTCCCTTCAGACGGGTCTTCATCAACGTTTGCGCCCTGAAACCCATAATTTTAAGATTCTCAACAAAAACTCAATTAAAGCTTTGAAACTCACATTCTCGACGGGAAAACCGCGATCCTGTCTTTACCACCACCTCCAGACATGGTTGGTTCTGAAAATAGTTATATTTATGTGTTAAAAGCAAGAAAAAGATCTAAAAAACAAGCGAAATCGTCAAGTGCGGGGAAGAATACACGAAAGACCAATGACTGGCGATTGATCGACCCCCACAGCAGAGCGAGCTTGCATTTTTGGTCAGAAACTAGAGAAGAAGAAGAAAAAGAACGAGAATCGAAAGAAAAGAGAAAAAGGGAACCATTCTCTGGTGTTTTCCTGCAATCTTCAGGCTTTGGCAGTCTATTCTACCCAGCTCTCCCCTTCGTTATGGGACAAGATAATGAATATGAGATTAAAATGGCACAAAAACCAACAAGTAGAACAGCAACCACATAAATTGATACGAATCTTTATGGTACAGATCAATTCGACTCGGGGTTTCAGCTATCCACAAGAAAAAAGACAACCCAAATTGTTAGAAATAGATATCGAGAGGGGACAATGGGGTGTGATGAGTGGGTACAAAATAAAAAAGAGCATAAATATCTTATAATACATACATGAAGTCTATGATTCCTGTTTATTTCCGGAGAAGTCGAGTGAACAATCCTTTCTTTGACTTTTCTACTGTGATATCTTTTGAATCTTTCGAATATTTTTTGAATGCTGCTGGAGAAGAAAGCGACGCTTCCATTATAGGTTGCTTCCGAACTCTTCGCGTTTTGTTGATTCTCGCATACTGTGGATCCTCATTCTGATCGTTTTGTGCGTACTCCAGTCGCTGAACACATTCAACGAATTCTTCAGGAACTGCGAAAAGTGTTCGGTAGTTGGCCAGTAGAACCGCAGTGATAAGCATTCCTTGTTGTTTTCGGCAACCGCCACAGACACCCGTCCATAATCCAATTATTGCCTGAATTCAGAAATTTTTGAATCGTATTCAAATGTACCGTTATTACCGCTTCACGGTTATTCGAAGAGCCGTTTGATGGATCAGCAAGGTCGAAAAGCTGATTCGTTTCAATCGATTTGATAAAGCAGACGAATTTGTGAAGTTTACGACGTCGAGATGTGGGGAGTGAAAGAAGAACAAGTTGAATTGCTTCAATGAGCCATTGCTCTCGGATTTTGTACAACTTCTCTTCTATAAATTTAGAGATTCATACTAATAGTAAGAGAAATAATCAAATGTATACCTTGAATCACCAGATTGACTCTATTGTCGAATGGCGATAGCGCTCGTCTTCTCTGCTTCGAAGCGCGGATTCCGCATGCTGGAATATCACGAGAGAACCCATCCACCATGAGTCCGGCTTCTTCTATACTCGATGCAGATGACATCATCACTTTTGACCATCGGTGAGATGCTCCGGTTTCTAGCATCGATGCGAAGCCATCCATTTTGCTGAGGAAACTCACAAGTAATAAGCAGTCGTCGAGCTGAAGTGGGGCGTTTAGATCTTCGAGGCGGTTTACAAGTGTTCCGAACATGCGATTGACGTTGAGTTCAGGAGCTAAATCCAGCTTTTTCGCAGATGAAAAGGGATAACGTCCGAGATAATCCATGAAGTTGACAATAGTTGTTGGATAATCCGGTTGGAGTCCAGAGCATCTCGATTTGACAACTCCATCATTCGAATCTATTTCATGTGTATTCCATCTAATATCATATCCGTCAACTTTAGAGGCCCATTCGCCTGGAAGAGGACGTCCATACAGATTTACAAGCTTTTCAAGCAACTCTGTTTTCCACACAATACAATCTTTCAGAACAGGTGGCGGAGGATCTGTTGGTGGTACAATCGACGATCTTCGCATGATTGACTCGTACATTCTTCCACGAGACAAAGATGCTGGATTGGGACACACAAGACTAGTTCTATGGTTTTGATAGCGTGCTGGAGCAGTAGAAAGTGGTCCTCTTGGATGCAGAAAAACTTGTTCATTCACAGATTCACGAATTGGAGGAGTGGCGATTTTCATTTTGCTTCGTACAGCTTCCTCTTTTTCTTCCTCTTCATCTTCTTGAGCTTTTACCATACAATGGTTTCGATCGAGTGAAACGGACCGACGAGTAGGCTGATGTGATTTGTGGTACCGTCGAGATTTGAAAAATGGCAACCAATCGTAAACTTTTTCCTTTTTTTCTGTATGGTTTTCTTTATCCGAGTCGTGGTCCGGGCAGATACTTTCCAATGACCGATTTAAAACTTTCGGAGCTCTCGTACGCTTCGTTTGTTTGTACTGATTTTCATCTTCACGGCGATCGTCGAATCCATGATTTTCTACTCCGCGCGGATCATTATCGACACCAGCTCTATCGACGTTACCGTTTGATCTCGATAACCTTCTGGATAGCCGCGTTTTTGGTCTTCTGACTACCGTAGCGGATGGTGAAGTTGTTTGAACCAGTCTAAAATTCATACAGCTAAATATCAACAAAATCATTGCTTTAAACTACTTCACACTGTTTCTGGCACCACTGAACGATGCAGATCGACGGGACCGCACTTTTGGTTTCCGCAATTCATCCAAACTCTTCGCGAACACATATACTCGCGCATCACTGAATTCGCGCCTCTTCTGATTTTTCTTCGGGAAAGCTTCTGCGACAATCTTCCAATCCATCATCATCATGAACAATTTTTCCATTTTTTCGACGGTCGTCACCTTGCCAGGAAGAATATGTGGCACCTCTACAAGCAAGAAATCGAGCGCCTCTCTCCCAGTGAAACTGTTTTCCACACTGGTCAGCATACTCCTATTTGTTTTCAGTGGCAGGTTTGCACGAAAGTGCCAAACGATTTCGTCGAACTGGAAAAAAGGATATAAATTAGAAAGGATTAGCAATATTTTACCATCTGTGTCGCTTTAAACTGATCCATGGAATAATCATCTGACATTTTTATAGGTTTTAGAATGTAGGCGAAGCAGGAAAAAATTCACAAACGAAAGGTGAACGTTGCGAAGATTGCGCACCACTCGACGCGCTTTTGCACAATTTCTCTACTACAGTAACCCTAGCTGCAAAAATGTGGCCCGCGAAATAGACTGTGCTGATCGTCACGAAAAGTTCTAAATCTGAAAATGGAAAGTTCTGAAAACCTTATGTGTGCTATTTATTTAGGCTCTCCGCTTCGATATCGCTACCGTATCCAGACTGCAAAAAATACAAGACAAGCATAATAGTAGCCATTTCAGACAAGCATAATAGTAGCCATTTTCAGTCCATTCAGAAATGTGTTGAATATCTCAAAATGTTAGAATGGAGATATGGTAATGATAGGCTTCGATTATTAATCTCCATGCACAAACGATTTCCGGCAGTCTGTTTGAAGACGAAACCCAAAAATATCTGCAGAAAAAGACGGTCCTCATCGGATTAAACTAAAAACAAACATTGAAAGTGAAGCGAAAGGAAGGAAAAATCTTTTAAAAGAACATCTATTTCTGTTGCTCTTTGATGATGATGGCTCTTGTGTTTTGAAAAAATAAGGTTTCAACTAATACTCAATTTTTTTTTTAAATTTTGCTTGTACAATAACTGAATTATTATAATGGCCGTATTTTCTTTATCAGAAGCCTAACTAAACCGTCAACTTTGAGCTCAATTATCTCGAATCCTATGAAAGATATAAAAAACTTGTCAAACGATAATTATTAATCTGATAAATTATTAATTCAAAAAATAAAATTAACTTGGAACATTTTCAGATTTTCAATTCTTCTCATTTTTGGTTGAAAAAGCTCAACTTTAGATACGTTTAATCCTGCAATAGTAGGGCCTCCGCACTGTCACATTCGAGCTCAATTATCTCGATTTTTATGCAAGATATCAAAAATGTGTCAACTGACAAAATGTGACTGATATAACCATAAACATCTTATCAGTTGACAACTTTTCGATATATTTGACAGAAACCAAGAAAAATTGGCTCAAAGTTAAAAGTAAGGTGGCCCTTCTATTAAAAGCTTTACGGTGAAGTCAAAAACCGTTGTGCGGTACTGTACTTCCTAGATTATTAATCAAACTTTGACAACTTTTTTTTTGTTAGGTATTTCTAGGATTTTTCTGGCCCGCTCCTGAATTTCTCAAATTCCATCTGCTTCTCACATGACTAGTATGTACCGAAAACTAAATAAAAACCAAAGCGCTTTCTTTTTTTCCAAGGAATCCACTGACTCATTTAGTACAATTGACCTCAATTCAGACCGTAATCATCTCATATTTTTATCTGTTTATCTCCTTTTCTAATTCTTTTTTTTTTCATTTTCTCCTCCTCACTAGCTCGTTTCGCAACCATCGCGTTACGATGTCACTCAATCATTGCAAATGCCCAGTTTTTCGTGTCTTTTCTGTTGTCCAATCCCCCTTCTTCTTCTTTCTGATTATCCATATCAAATCACAATGTCTGCGTGTCTCCATATCAAATACTATACCTTCCTCTTTTTTGGATCGGTCAACATTCTCTCGTTTCTCCCACACAAGCACTCCAATCCCATCTCCAGCCCATCCTTCTTTTTGTTTTTTTTTAAGGATAAAAATCCAAATACAAGAAGTTCGAAATTTTCCAATCATTTTTTTAACTTTATGAATTCCCCTTCATTCTCGATCACATGTTTCCTCTAGAACCCGTGGGAATTTTTCAAGAACTTGATTGATTGGTTTTTGGGAGACCACAAACTAGACATTCGCCAACTTATCCTTCTTCATTTTTAATGATTTTTGATATTTATACTTTAACAGTTACTGTAGTTCATTCTAGACCTGAAACTTTAAAATTTCAAAAACTTCTCAAAAACCTGTAATAGAAGGGCTCCCATACTGTAAAGTTCGAGCTCAATTATCTCAATTCCTATGGAAGATATAAAAATGTGTCAACTAACAATACACTTTTGATATTTTCATAAACATTTTATTTAGCTGGTAACTTTTTGCAAAGGAGCCAAGGAAATTGGCTCAAAGTTAAAAGCTACGGAGACCCTTCTATTACAGGTTTGACGGCATTTAATGCTTTATTCCAAAACAAATATTTTCTACAAATCTATCTAATAAAATGTTGAAACTGACTTCATCTTTTCTCCTCTTTCCTTCATCCGCAACAACCCGTTTTTTTCATCCAATTGGATACAAACAAAACGATACTTTTATCTTCAGCGTTGACCCATTCTTTCCTATTGATATGGTAAATTACAGTTTGGAGGAAAAAAACTTGACATATTGTATAAATTCCTTTGTTCCGTAGTAGTCCGTAGAAAGGAAAAAATGAAGAAGTCTGATGATTTTTGATGGTTTTATGGAGTTTTTAATGACCTGAACTTTATAAGGATTCGTTTGTACCCTTCTCATTCATTGTCTCATTTTTTGATGCATTCTTTGGAACTCGGGGGTATTGTTTGTGGTTGATGTCATTCATTTGATTATAATCAAATAAATATTTACTATATAGTAAATATTTATGAAAGCTTTGATAAACTTAAATATTTCTTTCAACTTCTCATTTCGAAAAAAAAACCGACTTTTGGTAGAAAATTTGAACAATAGCAAAAACAAAAAAATCTCGCCCAGCTTCGTTTCTTCTACCTTTTCTCTTCCACCTCAACCTTTGTTTAATCCGATTGGGATTACCAGTGACCTGGAAATTTTGGTTCAACCTTGATGTTCATCGTTTTCATTGTTTTCTAGCTGTTTTTTTTTGTTAAGAGATTCTTACAAAACTTGTAATAGAAGATCCCCTCCCCTAGCTTGCTTATTGTAAACACGCTAATAGAACGTTCAAACCGCCAACTTTGAGTCTATATATCACACTTTCCATAAAAGATATCAAAAAGTCGTCAACAAACAAAATTTTTATCATAATATTAGCAACATTTTATTAGTTGATCACTTTTTCATATCTATCACTGGAACCGAGATAAATTAGCTCAAAGTTAATAGCTCACAAGTAAGGCAGATGTTGCCGAAAGGCGGACAAACGTTGGCTGAAGGCTATAACTTGCGTCTTTAATTTCCAAGTCTTTAAGCATATGCCCTTGTGACAAAAAGTATGGGATGCAATCATTAGTGATTGGACCATAATGAGAAACATACGCTCCTTTGTAAAATGTCTGAAGAATCCATAAAATGGGAAAAACAAATTTTTATTTTACAATTATAAGATTCCGGGGAAGATTGTTAAAGTTGAAGAAATATAAAACATCAATCTCGTAGAAGGCCACCCAAAACGCTAACTTTGAGCTGAGATATCTCGGTTCCTGTGAAATTTATAAAAATACTGCCAACTAACAAAGTATTTTTCATAATATCAAAAATATTTTGTTAGTGGATCACTTTTTGATATCTTTTTCTGGAACCGAGATATATTAGATCAAAGTTGAAAGTTGAAGGGAAGTTCTATTAGAGTTTCTCCTTATGTAAATTTATTTATGATAATGAAGGCTTTAGGTCTTGAAAACCTCTAACAGCCGCTTCAATTCCTATATTTCTTGTTATTCTTTGACTTTCTTTCCTCCTGTAGACCCATTTAGTTTCCACATTCAAACTCACTTTCAGTTTTATTTCTTTCCGTTTTCAATTTCTGATAAATTAGATTTCCTATTGGATATTCCAATCACTAGAACTTTCTGTTTTTCCTGATTAAACCCCAAAAACAGTTAGTTTATATCACCTGACGCTCATTCCGTTTTGCAATTTAATTCGATAAGTCAGCGGTGCGAGAAACAAGCGAGAAAGTGTAAAATATGAAGATACACAGACATTCAGAATACAGTACGTATACACACTCTGTTTTTCTGTTATTTTTTGAAGAGAGAAAGAGAAATAGAAAACAGAATAGAAGAATCTCCCCTGTATTCTCAAAAAACTCGTTGTCATCATTCATCTCATACACCTTTCACCTCTTCTGATTCTAGATTTCCTGATTTCTTGATGATTAAAAATTTTAAGAGAAAATGAAGAATCGTGTAATTTTGGTTCTCGCCCTACTAGCATGCACTGAAGCTGCTTCTGAAGGTAAGTAGAAATTCAGAAATTCAGAAATTCTAAAATTGAATTTTCAGTTATCCGTGCCAGAGCTTACATCTTCAAAGCAGTAGAAGGTCAAATCCCTACCGAATTGATTGGGACCATCGATTTCGATCAATCTGGAAGTTTTCTGAAAGTGAGTCTTTGCCTTTTCTCTTTGTTTTCCAAACATTATATTTCCAGTTGAATGGATCTGTATCCGGACTGGCAGCTGGAAAACATGGATTCCATATTCATGAGAAAGGAGATACTGGAAATGGATGTTTGAGTGCTGGTAGCCATTACAATCCACACAAATTGAGTCACGGAGCACCTGATGATTCAAACAGACACATTGGGGATCTGGGAAATATTGAGTCACCGGTAAGTGCTCTTCTATTAGAAGTACCTCATCCTTATGATTCAGGCTTCTGGAGACACTGCCATCTCGGTGTCTGATTCTCTTGCATCTCTCAGTGGACAATATTCGATCATTGGTAGAAGTGTTGTGATTCATGAGAAGGTTGGTGGTCTATGGTTTTTTTGTTATGACACTGGTGTGTGTTGTCAGAATAGAAGGATTTGGGGACTAGTTGAGTTATGCAAAAAGGGAACAAAACAAATATTTACGACTTTTGGATGTTTTTGGAATATTGTAGAACTGAAAACAATGTGCAAATAATAGAACATCATAAAACTAAAAGTTAAAAACTACACTAGAAAGGTTTCATAACACAATCCTAACTACAGTAAATACTGATAGAAGCCCACCCAAACTGTCAACTTTGAGAACAATTATCTAGGTTGCCATGAAAGATATCAAAAATCTGTCAACTGATAAAACATTGGTGTTGATATGATAAGTTATTTATTAGTTGAAAACGTTTTTATATCTCTGATAGGAACCGAAGTAATTGAGATCATGGTAAAATAAACCATTTTTGGAATTTTTTTGGCAAATAATTCGGAGGGTACAACAATTCGGGGGTACAAGGGAGTACAAAGTGATTTAGGGGTACAAAATCCACAATTCGGGAGTACAGCCTTTTTTCAGGTACTTTGTACCCCCGAATTGAGCATTTTGTACCCCAATGACCCCAAAATGTTTGTACACTCCGAATTATTTTTTTTCGTTATGGTCCAATCACTAATGATTGTCTTCTTTACTTTTTGTAACAAGTTTTCCCCATATGCCTATAGAAGTTGAGCTTACATATCTCATTTCCTGTAAAAGATATCAAAAATCTGTCAGCGGATGAAATATTGCTGATATTATGACAAATAATTTATTAGTTTAAATGTTTTGATATATCTTATAGGAACTGAAATAACTAAGCTTAAATTGCATGCATAGGATGGGCTTGAACTAGAGCAGATGCGTTATTTGATAAATTTCATGGCTAGAAAATCTGGAATTTTGAATCTCGAGAAGCTAAAAAAATTTTCTTCTGATCATAAGTTCTTTCAGACTGATGACCTGGGCCGTGGAAATTCAGACCAATCAAAGACAACTGGAAATGCTGGTGCTCGTCTAGCCTGCGGAACAATCGGTACGTTCCCGTTCCCCACTTAAACTCACCCCATCCCCATTCTAATTCCTGAGTTGATGATCTGTTTGACAGGTACCATCTGAAAATCTCTGTCACTCTTTCTGTCTCTCGCGTCTTCTCACACTCACTCATTTCTCATTTATTATGTTCATTGCCTGCATCCTCTCCCGGTTTTGTTTCGAAGAGCCAATACTTAAATGATGACTACTAATTAATTATGACAATCGATGTAATTAAACATATATTTAAAACTTGTGAATGTAAATACTTAATAATTATTCCCTGTTTTTTTTGTGAGAGCGAATAAAATTTCAGTTCAGAATCTTGTTTTCAATCTTGGATTCCCTTGTTCTTACTATTAGAAGTTGAAATTTAGTTGAAAGGCTCATTTATTCTTGTGATTTGTTTTATAGTTCTTTCTACAGAAAAAAAAAATCTCAAAACACTTCTGATTTCAGGAATAGTTGAAGAACGACTTCTGGAAACAACGACAGCTTCTCTTCCACCTGTAACTCAATCCCAGCCCATTGGATCATCTTCTTCCATTTATTCGATTCCTTTTCTGCTACCCTTTCTTTTTTTCTTTCATTGATTCTTTCCCATTCCGTTTTTAGTCTTCCCATCTAGTCCAATAACTTCGACTCCTCACGAAAAACCGGTCTCAAAAATGCTGTAGCCGAAACTCTGAATCTGCGACTAACAACAACGAACTCACTGGTACAATATTCCCTCTCGCGAACGCTTCTTGTTTTATAAAATAAAGCTTCATTTTTTAGATTTTCGACACAAATTTAAATTACAGAATTCGAGTAATACAATGAAAGTTAAAGAAATGTAATAATACCGTAAACACTTTGATAGAAGGGAACCCAAAATGAAAACTTCGAGCCGAGATAACTCGGTTCCAGTGAAAGATATCAAAAAGTGATCAACTGACAAAATGTTTCTGCAATTATCATAAATATTTTGTTAGTAGACCACTTTTTGATATCTTTCACAAGAACTGAGACATATGGGCTCAAAGTTGAAAGTTAAGGGTGGTTTTCTATAGAATGTTTACGGTAGTTGCTTTATAAGCTCTTGGGGATACCAGGAGTTCGAATGCTTTTAAAAACTTAGATTGGAACCAGATTTATAAACAAGATGTGACTGGTCAATCACAGGGTTTTTTTTTCTATCTTTGCAAGCTCGCTCTCTTGATAAGAGGGCGGGCGAAGCTTTTTCAAATTTTTAAAAATGAAAAAATTCTCCCCTAAAACTAGAGATCTTGTTTCGGTGAAGAGACGCAGAACATCTCGGTGAAGAGACGCAGACAACGAAATGGCTGAGGATCAAACGTTTGATCCTCAGCCATCAATTTGGCTACGCCACGCCCCTTTATCAATAATGCGCATTTGCATAGCTAGTTGAACAAAACACAGTGGCACTTTTTTCGGAGCAACACACTTGAAATGATATATAGTTAAAACTAGAGGTAAAAAAAAGAAATTTACCTGAAAGAGTTCCTAGACAAACATATCTTGCTGCCACTTCTGATGCAACCTCGAACAGCGATTCATTTACAGAAAAAAGGATACGGTTCATAACCATAAACTTGTTCTCTCCGTTCATTTTCGAGACCGATGGAAAAGGTCCGAACCGTAATGTGGTCTGCAAAATTGCTTATTTGAAACGAGATATAAAGTGAATTTTGTTTATACCAAAACAGGAGTAATACCGACATTTCTGATAATTGGAACATCTGCTTGCACTTGGATTTTCACGGGGTCGTGATAGACGCTGTGATGGCGTATCGAAGGAATTCGAATGTCCTCCACCTGAAAACTAAGTTTTTCTTTGAGAGTTGAGAACGTCTCGGAATGTTTGCCACCTTCTTCTCATTCGTTTCAGCGTTCTCGATGATTTCCTCATTGTAGATAGCCACTAAGAACGTTTCGAACAGCGAAACACTCTTATGTTGTTTTTTAGACAATGCGAGGAGATACAACGAAACAAATCCGGGCACGAATTGCAAGGCATAAAGTCGAAGAACTCCTGAAATAGCTTGTTTTACATCTTAACGATCATTTAGACCATTCTTTACCTGATTTATAATATAAAGAAAGAATCTGAGCAATCGTAGTCTGAATCAAATCGACATCTGTGTAGTTCGATGCGATATAGCTTGCAGCCCACAATGAACTTGGAGCGAACTGTAAGTTATTATTAGAAAAATACCAATATTCAAAAAAAAACACTCACTTTGTTCAGGAATTTCTTTTTCAGATGATTTTCTTCTCGTTGATCAGCTACCTTTTTCGGGATAGCAGCTCCTGCTAATGCCACCTCGTAAAAGAAATCGGAGAGCTGATCGGCGTTCATTTTTTGTTATGACGAAGCCGAGCGGATGTCATGAAACCCCACGAAAAAGGGGAGGAAGGGTGGAAAGAAAGCGAAAGAGCGAAAAGTGTTGACCTAGAGTTTTCGTTTGTGTGTCTGCGTCTCCCTCGCGTTAGCACTAGGCCGTTGGATTTCCCCTTTTCCAGAGAAGGTTCTTTCCAATAAAGTTTCCATTAATGGCCATTTCCGACTTCATCCAGTTCTTATAAAAACATTAGAAAACCAAGAAATCTTACTATTAGTTTTCTTATGTTTTTTCTAGTTCTTCTAATACGGTCCCCAAAGAAGTTATTTCTTTTTTCTTTATTACTAAAACAGATTACAACCCGGAAGATGCATCTTGAAAAGTTCTATTCATTCAGCTATTTTACAAAAAGTTCATAAGTTCCAAAAAAGCCTTCGCTTATTTGCTTCAAAAACTATCATTTCCTGGAACCTTTTCTGCGGAATAAAAAAAAACTCTCCGGCTGAAGTTTGAAAATCTGAAAATCGTCTTAAATTGATCAAATTTATTGACACCTGCACTTGGGTCCAGGCGAGGGGGTCAGAAAAAGCGCCCCAGCTCACTCGCAGGCCAAAAGAAATCCAATAATTTTAAACATGAACGCGGGATTGCACTAAGCATGACCTATCTCTATAACATCCCGGGTTGCCTGACGCGACACCCTCGCCCGTCGGTTAATATCGCCAGACGCTCATTCCGTTTTGCAATTTAATTCGATAAGTCAGCGGTGCGAGAAACAAGCGAGAAAGTGTAAAATATGAAGATACACAGACATTCAGAATACAGTACGTATACACACTCTGTTTTTCTGTTATTTTTTGAAGAGAG